GGGATTTTACTCCTATCCTGGAGAGTTTGGGGCCCCCCCCCCCCCCGCCTCTCTGTCTCTCTCTCTTCCTCCAAGCCATCCTCCTGCCAGTCACAGGAATGAACAGGTTGCTGCTCCCTCCCCTGCAGCTCTAGCTGAGGGTGAGGCTGGGTATGGATACAGGTGGACCCATTGGCCATGAGGGTCCTTCAGTAAGTGGGAGCTGGAAGGATTTAGGTTTCCCATAATGCTCACTGAGGTTTTGAAAGCTTGCAATCCTGGGAAAACAGGGAAGGGGAAGACTGAAACCCCACCCAGGTAGCTTGAGAGGACAGGGACAGCCCAGTGAGGAGCCACCCTCTGGCAACTGGGAGGCAGGTGCCAGCCTATGCTCTCTGCTTTCCAGCCGACCTTTGTCCTGTCCATCCCACACCATTTGTCTGCATCTCTCATCCCTACATGGTTGGCTTAAGCCCAGTTTGAGCAGCACATCCTGGGGCAGCCTGTGCGATGAGGGGATACACAGTTAGGTTTCCTCACTTGTGCACAGGTGAGAAAAGAAGTTACTATTGAACAGGAGCTCCTAAAACTCTCTAGAACACCTCAGAAGCTGCCCTCTCACGGACAGGCCCTAAGTCCACCAGTCTCCTTGTTACCACAGCAAGGAAGGAGAGTTGGCCAGGAAGCCTGTGCTTGGGAACAGCTCTGACCAGACACCAGGGCCTCAGGACTGATGGTCTGGAAGGGCAGAGCGGCCCCACCTTCCCCATCAGAATGGTGAACGGACAGACGGACGGAAGGGAGTCAGCCAGAGTCCCTCACTGTGGGACACCAGGCTCCTCACTGCCTGTGAGGAGCAGTGTTGGGGTTGCCGTACCAGAAGGGGGCTGGCATGAAGACAAGACGTTTATCGTCCAGGACCCATCTGTAGAAGTCTTTTCTTCCCTGGGCCTCAGTTTCCTCAGCTATAAAATCAGGGAATCAACTGTTTATTCTCTCAGGTTTCTTCTAGTCCTGAGTATTCTGAGATTCTGGGCTAGAGCCCAAAATGGCTTACCCCAATACCCCCCTGCTGGCAGCCATAGTACTAAGGCCTGGCGCTAAGCCTCTGCCAAGGCGTGGTTCAGGCCAAGTGTACTGTTTCATCCTTCCTTCTGCTGTGAAAATGCTGAGTGCAGACTGAGGCCCTTATCGATGGGACAGCAGGCTGTGATGTCGTCACTCTAGGGTCAGGGCCCCGTAAAATGCTTTGCATCTCCCTACAGTCATCTTGGACAGTCTGCTCTGCACTAATGGAAAGAACTCACTAATGGAAGAGGATCTCATCCATTCTGGGCAGGGCTGCCAGTGGGAAGGAAGAGCCCAGCAGGTGTATATACAGGAGGGTGTGATACTGAGGGGGAACTGCAATGTGGATGCCCTGACCCCATCACTGTATACCCAGTCAGTCCATATTGGTACAAAAGGTATCTTTATTGAGGTCTGGGTAGGAATTAGGCACTTGGCCAGAGCAGCAGCTTAAATATGAGGCAAGCAGGCAAGAGTCAGCCATGCCTGGGACCAGGCTGGGCGGTGAAGGTTTAGGCGCTGTCTCCCAGACGGAAGTCAGGGAGACAAGAAGAAGGAAGGGACATGGCAGTCTGGGTCAGAGGCCTGATGGGATGGCCCCTGGGGCTGGGCAGGAAGCTCTTGGTGGCAGATCCAGCAGGGAGGGAACCAAGCTTTCTTGCTCCATGTGACCCTTGCCCCAGGCCTGAGCCTCCAGTGGAGCAGCCTCACGGGGCCGTGCCAGGCCTCACTTCTTCACCTTGGCATCGTAGGTGCCGGCGTTCTTGTAGGCGCTCACGTACCCACTGTCGTCCAGGATGTCCTGCCGCCCAGCAATGCCCTTGCCCTTGCCGCTCTCGTCGAAGCGTTCTTTGTGGGAACCTGTATACTTACTGGTGTCAGTCAGCCGGTCCACAGCACCACCTGTTTTTGCTTTCTGTTTGGACAGAGTTCCCAGAGTCACCTGAGAGGGAACCTGGCCCATCTTACCCACCCACATCTCCTCAGCAGCAGGGCTAGCAAGGCACTTACAGTGACACCCAGATTGGCTGGTTCCTTGCCTGCTACCAGCTGGCAGATGGCATCGAAGGCCTCTTCCTTGCTCTTCCCCTTGAACCGCTTGGTTGCCAGCTCTTCCAGGGCTTTCTTGAACTCCTCATAGTTGATTACTCTAGCCGACTTCGCCCTGCCAGACACCATGTGCACCATAAGGATTCCCTCCTCTTGATACCCTCCCTGATTCCAGCCCCCAGCTCCCTGCTTTCTGGGAACAGGAGAAACGGGGGTTTCGCGGCACTCACTTGACTTTGGAGAAGACGATGTCAACATCTGTACCCGTTACGGCCTTCCCGTCAGCCACCTTACAGTCCTTGCACAGCTTGGCCCAGTTCTTGCCGTTCATCTCTTGCCCACTGGCCTTGGGGTCGCCATGGATGGCAAACTTCCGGAAACTCTCCTCCAGCCCAGCTACATCAGTGCTCGACGCCATGCCGCCCCTCTGTGGGAACCCATGTCAGTTACCTCCCATCAAACTCTCCTCCTCCTCTACCCGACATCCTACTGCTGTCTCAGAGCCTACAAGGCCCCATCCAGTCCCTCAGTCAGGCCTGGGTTGCCTGGGGAGAGGGGGTTCGCACTTGTGTCTCCTTGTGCCCCAGAGCTGAGGAAGAGCCATGGGCAGAAAGGTCCTGTCACACTCTGTACCAGTCCTGGTTCTCAATGCGGCTCAGAAGATGAAGTCATGATGCCCACACAGCACTGAGAACAGAGTGGCACTGTCCAGAAGACTCTGAGGGTAGCAGCTAGGGCATGGCTTTGTCTGTCCCTGGCACAAAGCCTGCTTGGGTGGAACTGAGAGGGGGACAGAAAAGCCCTCCCTCCCTGAAAACTCCATGTCAGTTGGGTCAGTGCCAGGCAAGGCTGGTGTATGGGCAGGCATTCAGTGAGGATGGTGTGTCTCTAATGGTCATGAAGACCTGGAGAGGCCCAGCCTAAGCCTGTCAGGGGAGCGGGAGCAAGGGCAGTGGTGCATGCCCTAGGCAGGGGTGCAGCTGGCCCAGCCCTGGCCTTGTTACTATTTGCTGTTAAACAAAAACATGAGGGGAGCAGGAACTTGGGTCTGGCCTGGCCACAGTTTGTGAAGCCTGGAGACAGTTGCTAAGAGAGGGTGGTGCTGCTTGGAGAGTGTTGCTAAGGGTAGGATGGTGTCAGGGCGGCTTCAGGGAGAAGCTCTCAGTGCTGCTGGGCTGGGCTGGGCTGGGCTGGGGATCAGGGGCCCACGGGTGGGGCATGCCAGCACTCCCTGAGCCTAGGGCACAACCGTGGCTTCCTGGCCCCTTGCCACTGATTGAAGTTGTAGCTCCCAGTCTGTGGAGCTTAGGAGTGGGAAATTGGAAGCAACCTAGGTGGAGGCTTGTAAAGTAGCCCCTAAACTCCTCCATGCTGCTAGTGGGACTATGATCTTGGTGCTTCAGTCCTTCACTGAAGCACACATCCCCTTGTCTACACTTCAGCCCTCCACTAAGGTCTTCTGATCACACCCTGAGCATGACCACACCAGTCCACATTCCCACAGCTCATATGCACTGAGCCCTGGCTCTCCACACCCTCAGCCATGTACCCCCTGACCATACCCAGGCCCTGCACTGAGGCCTCCTCCATCCACACCCAAAGCCCAGAATTTGACCCTTTTTTCCACTTCTATCCCCACATAGACACTCAGAGGCCTGCATCAAACCCCCTCCCCAGCACACCCTCACTCCAGCACTAAAGCGCCTGTTCATAGCCTGCTACTGCAGCCCCTGACCACACCCTCACTCACCTCTCTACTGCAGCCCCTGACCACACCCTCACTCAGTCTGTACTGCAGCCCCCTGACCACACCCTCACTCAGTCTGTACTGCAGCCCCTGACCACACCCTCACTCACCTCTCTACTGCAGCCCCTGACCACACCCTCACTCACCCACCTCTCTACTGCAGCCCCTGACCACACCCTCACTCACCTCTCTACTGCAGACCCCTGACCACACCCTCAGCCCCACCGTGAAACTCCCTCTACAGCTCAAACCCTGTGCCCACTTGCATCCCCATTTTGCATCTTTTTCATTCACATCCGGAAGACCCCAAGCACACTCACTTACCTAACTCTATACCCACAGCCCTTACAAAGGGCCCCCCACCATACCCTAGAGCATCCCCTTTCATTCATACACCTACAGCTTCTGCCACAGCCCTGCCTTGAAACCCCCCCCCCAACCGTGTCTAATCTATGCAATAACATTTCCATACTCTCATGCAAAATGTTAAACACCCACCACCACACTTTCATCCTGCAGCTTCCCGACCACACCCTCAGCTCTCCCACTTTATCCATATACCTAGAGCTGCTGACACAGACTGGCCGGAAGCCCCTCAGAGTCTAACCAGCATTGGCCTTTCCACACTCCTGCACCATGTTAGAACATACCACCATCACCACACCCACTGCAGCATCCTGACCACACCCTCATTCTCAGCCACCATCTTTACCTCTGCCTCTTAGAAAAAAAGTCACCAATGACCACAACCCCCCACAACACACACATACACACACACACACACACACACACACACACACACACACACACACACACCTTCTTCTTCCATAACTAGTCATTAGACACTGGAAGCCTCCACCTGTTCATCCATAAGTTGCAGTTTTTAAGAAAGGGAAACCCAAAGATCCCACATTGTAGGGACCTCTGTGGGACTGTAACCCAGGAGGTACTGTCCTCCCTTTGCCTCTCCCAAGGTGCAAACCCCACCGGGAACCCAAAGCCCTGCACTTGGTCACCAAGGGTAAATATGTCCAGGGGAGCTTGGGTGCTACATGATGCTTGTCTTAAGGAAATGGGAGGATCCTGAGCCTATTGCTCATTTCTGTCTATGGGAAGATGGATTTGGGGGCTGTTCAGGTGGAACAAAATCACAGAGAGCTGCTCTGGGGTCTGTAGACCTTGGATGGGGTGACCACGCCTCTGAACTAAATCCACCCGTCAGCTCCTGCTGGGACAGCTGCAGTCATCAATCAGCCTAGCAAGGAGGTGGGGGCAGGGGTGTGTGTGGAACGCTTGGGGCCAGGGCTGGGGTGCTCAGCTGGTGTCCTCAGGTCAGTACCATGCAAGGTTGGTACAGGCTGCTCCCACCCACCCTTCCTTGTGGAGGATATTAATTAGGGTGGTCGATGTTCAGTTCTCCTACCGGCTTCTATCTCGTGGCTGCTCCTGAGTGTGCCTTCGGATAGACAAGACCCAGGAACTAATCGACAGATGCTGGAGACCAGAAGGCTCCACAGCTCCGCTCCCTGCCGGCTCCCAGACGGGACTGCAGCCCGGGCGGCTCCCTGGTATTATCCCTTGTTTCTCGGTCACCATAGAGACAGTGAGTCCCACCCCCTAAGCAGTCTCGGCGGGAGAGTGACCAAGGTCATGCTGGCTCCTCCCACCAGACCCCGCCCTGCGTGCTCTTTAGGCACTGGGCCCTTGGAGTTGCGGCGACAACCTTATCCTGCCCCTCCCCTTCAGCCGCGGTCCTCAAGCAGCCAGAGCTGCCCTCTGCAGTCCTGGATGTCCTAAGATAGGAACTTCCATAGCCAATGGGAAAACAGCCCCCCCCCAAAGTTCAAGCGGGGTCCCCAACCCTTAAGGGATTTCTGAAAGAGTCAACCTGAGACTGTTTAAGATCTGAAGAAAAGAACAGGATCGCGTCCCTCATTGACAAGGGTCTACAGTTAACTCAAAGACCACAGTTACTGCTAAATGTGACATTTGCCAGCTAACTCCCAGGTTCCGAGTAGGGTCCAGATTCTGGAGCACTGGGGGAAGACAGGGACAATCAGTGGATCATACGTGCCTAGCCCCAGAATGCTGGGTACTTTGATGGCGACCACTGTCAGGAAGCAATTCCCGGACCTCGAGAACGGCTGCCTCCTTCCATGCCACCTCTCCTCTCCTTGGTCTCACCGCTGCTGCCTCCCGAGCCTGCTTCCTCTTCAGACTTCAACGGCAAATACTACTTAACTAAACGACCTCACCTCGTGGGGCGTGGTGGCACACGCCAGTAATCTGGGTATTCGGGACACTGAAGGAGTGGGTTCAAAATGCCGAGGCAAGCCTGGGCTACAAAGGAAATAGGAGGAGGAACGGAGGGGAGGGAAGGAGAATAGTAGTGCTTGAACATGAAGAAGATCCCATGTTTGATCCCCAACATTAAAAACAAAAATCCTTTCCTCGGAGCCTTCTACAACCTTTCCTAACCCACCCCAGGCCAGCTAGTAACAGTCACGGTCTGGCTTCCAGAAGACCCACGGCTCTTTCCATAATGAAAATAAGCACTAAGCCCGCAAAAGCATAAAAAAAGTTTATTGGAGCATCAGAGCTGGTGGAGCGGATATTGCTGAGTCTTGGGCAAGGGAGGCCGATCCCGCCGGCCTTGAGCCCCCTTAAAATGCACTCGGTGCGGCGAAGATGGGGTGTTGCATAGAGTCGGGCCGGCCGTTCCTACACGGCCCTCCTGCCTCTAGTTCGCACTAAGGCAGGCCATCTTCACCGCCGCCAGGTGCCCCGGGCTCGCCGCTGCTCGGGCTCACAAAAACGGCCGGCGAGCGTGCCTGTACCACCAGCCCAGACTCTCGGCCCCTGGCTCCTGGGGAGCCCAGCGCAGCACTGCCCAGGCGTGTCTGGGCCACTGGAATCTCTTCCATGGACTCGGCTGATGCTGAGTAGTAAGCGACTGCAGAGCCAGCCGCATGCACCGGACTGGCATTGGTGGAATCCGATGAAGAGCTGGAGTGGCGGCCAGGGGTCCCAGTCTCTGCACAATGAGGAATTTTGGTTGAGACAAGGGCTGCAGCCATGGCTTTAAAACTTTTCCCTCCCTCGAACTAACCCAATAGGATCCAAGCAGAGGTGTTGGGTGCTCACCCCGTAACCTGGGCAGCGGGAGCTCCCGGTCCAAGACCCCAGACCTCGGCAATCTATACACACGCCGCTTCCTCTTTTTCTGCAAAGACAGAGGGTATGTGGACCACTTCCCCAGACCCACTTTGCCAAAAGCAGCAGAGGTACTCATCAGAGTGGAGGCTTCTTTTCCATCTCCCTCTTCTTGGGCAGAGGTCCAAACCCAGTCCCTCCTACCTGGGGTTGGATCCGTGGAGGCAGAGCCAGTGTGTCTGAGGAGGAGGAGGGCAGTGGTGGTTCCACTTGGCCTTGGGTGGCAAGAAACTGGGAAGGACTGAGGTAAAAGCCAGAGAGCAAGCTCTAGATGCTGCCCCCAGAGTCCCTCCCTGCTAGAGGTTCCCTTCCTAGCAGGACAGAGAGACACTGACCCATCCAAGATTTTGCTGAGCTGGACTCAGACCCATGCTTTGACCTACATCCCTTCTCCCACCCCCATGGGGAGAGCCAGGTGGTACTTACTTGGCATTTAATGCTGCTGGCCTGGCCTGGCC